GGACACAGATGTGTACTGGAGGGAACAGCATGGACACAGATGTGTACTGGAGGGAACAGCATGGACACACGCTCGTCGTTTTCTGTGTATGTGAGAATAGGAAGTAAGTTGCATTATTGGCTTAATTTGAATTCTTGGGTCTGAACTTCTAATCCTCCAGGGCCATCTTAACTTCTCTCTGTTCTCTGGGCTATTATAATCTGTTGAAAAAGCTCCTTGCCAGCTGTTTTCTTCACAAAGCCTGTCCCAAGCTTCCTTGGTGTGGCCTTCCTGCCCCTGTGACCCTGCAGCACTGAGTCACTCTTTTATTCCTGTTTCTTGGTACTTTACAGCCCACTTTAGAAGGGAAGAAGACGAGAGTTCCTGTGTCCTCTGCCCGTGCAGTTGTTTCTATGTAAACCAAACTCCCTTTTTGCTTACTGGCTGTATTGCATTGAACACAGGCTGGCATTTCAGTGTGACACATGTGAAGTAGTCATGGGTTTTTCTGGTATTTGATAATAAAAAATTCTTCCACTTGACATAAAAGAGAGTCTTGAATAGTGGCATTTTTACCCCAGCAGTTTTCCACAACTTACGTACACAAGTTTCAAGAAATTCAAGGATTCACCATCATATTGATGCAGAACCCGTAACTATCTTTTTTCTTTTTTAGGGCTATGTATTTGCTTTCTTACCTTCAATGTATCATGAAATGAATTGATGAAAAGAAAATTGTTAGTTTAAAAATAGTTCTTATGTGATCAGCCTTGTCATGGGGCTTACCTTTGCTTTTTTAAATACTGGCAATTGTTAAAATAATTATCCCCAGATTATGGAGGCTCTTCTGCGGGTAAAACAGCTCAACATCTGCTTTGTTTTCTACTACAGGCAGTGTTCACCTTGGAGCCCAATGCGTGGAGCAGGGATGGAAGCCGGGCTGGTGGCCTGGGCGACGAAGCTCTGGAGTGGGGACCTGATGAGGCAGACGTCCACGCAGGTCTGAGCTGCACTGCCCTTTGGCCCCAGGTGCCGTGCTCCCAGAACATGACCACGGCCCAGAACGGCCATGGGCCAGGTACTGCAGCACCCTGTTCTGCCTCTGACCTGAAAGACCCCAAGATGGTGACGTCGGCGGCGTGTCGGAGTGGTGGGTACAGAAGCGACCCCGAAGCCCCAGAGGCCCGGCTCAGCCCTTCCAAGCTCGTGCGCCTCTTCTCCGTGAGCCGCAAGCGGGCCAGCGCCGACGCCGAGAGGCCGCGCTCCGTGGTGCTCATGGGGACGTCCTCCACGTGGAACGCCCTGGCCTCCTTCCGCAAAATGGGATCTTTCAAAAAACTCAAGTCCTCCATCCTTCAAGGGATTCAGAACCGCGAGGCGTCCGAGGCCTCCAAGGAAGACGCATGGGAAGGTGCCCTGGGGACAGTCGTGCCCAACGGTGCGGCGGTGGTGGCGGTGGGCCCTGGCCCGGACCCGGCCGGTGGCGCCCCCCGGACAGGGGACAGTGGCTCCGAGGGCTCTGACGAGGACGCCGACGCTGATGCCTTCCAGAGAAGCACGCACCGCTCCCGCAGCATCCGCAGGGCCTACGGCCTGGGCCGCATCAGCCTGCTGGACCCGGAGAAGCACCTCGCGACGCCGAACCGAGCAGGACCCCTGTCCTCCATCCCACAGGAGCCGGTGCTGGGCGAGGTTCCAGACGCGGAGCCCGCGGGCCAAGGCGTCGCCGGCCGCAGAAGCAGGAGCACGGACAGCCTGGCCTTCAGGAAGAAGGGCTCCGTCAAGCGGAAGTCCACCTCCAACCTGGCCGACCTGCGTGCGGCCTGCGAGAAGCCGGCTCCGCCACCGCCACCCCCGCGGATACTGAGCCACTCCTCGGCCGACTTGGAGAAGCTGGGCGGTGCGGAGCAGAGGGCCAGGCGCTGGAGGAGCCCCCTCGGGGTCAAAGACTTCGACAGGGTCTGGAAGCTCGTGAGCAGCGCGGCAGACGCCACCTGGAAGAGAGAGCGCCCCAAGAGCGAGGCAGCGCCCCCTGGTGGCGGGGCGGGTCCGCGGCTCCGGCAGCGCAGCCGGCTGCACGAGGACTATTCGCACCGAGCGTCCAGCAGCTGTGAGCGTGACAGCAGGCGCCCCGGGCCCCGCATGGACGCGGACACTGCCGTGTACCCTCTGGAGGCCGTGGGCCCCTGGGCCTCAGAAGGGGACTATCCCCGCACCAGCAGACCCCCGAGTCCGACCAGCACAGAAGCACTGAGCAAAGCTTGCGATGACCCCAGCGCTGGTGGCCAGCTGACCTTTGACCCTGGGCCACCCCCCACCCCTCCAAGGCCCGTCACACCCAAGCCCCAGAGTCCCCAGAGCCCAGGGCCAACGAGCACCAAGTGTCCCAGCAGTCTCAGTGCACTTTCCCTGACCTCAGTGCAGAGTGATGGACGGGCAGAAGACCCTGTCCAAAGGGAGCCAGGGCCCGGGTGCCTCCAGGATTCAGCCCAGGACACACGTGGGGAGGACAGCAGCAGTGACAGCAGAGGGGGCAGCCACACTCAGCTGAGCCCCAGGGGGGCGGCCAGTCCAGAGGAAAAGAAGGAAGAGGTAAGGGCCCAGGCGGGGTCCCTCTGTGACTTGCTAGTGACCCTGCTGTGGGAGGGTTGCTGGCCCAGTGTGGCCTTCATCCTTCAGCTGCTGTTGTTACTGGTGACCCTGTCATGTCTCAGTTATTACTTGGGGTGGGAGTTGTTTAGCTGCAACTTACCAAATTCAGAAGTAATTCCCATCTTTTGAAGTGAGTTGTTAATGTCTGAAATTCCTTGAGATAACATACAGCACTGAAAAGATAATTGAATATCTACTATGTGCTAGATTCTGAGGGGCTGGTGGATTCCATGCGTCTGTTAGAGGTTCTCCCATTTTCATTTTTGAACCAATTTCTATTACCCATATCTTTTTATTTTAAAATGTTTCTATATCCTTTCCAATAAAACCCTTATAAATGAAATCATTTGAGTTAAGAGACTACTACAGGTCCTAGATATGTTTTATTTCCTAGGAATGAATTAGAAATGTTCAGTTCTGTGCCTGTCAACCATGAACGATGCCTGTATATTAAAGAGATTTTTATGCTAGTCATTATACTTATTTTTAGTCAATTTTTAAAGCATCTCATGAATTGAATCAGCTAATAACTGCCAAAGCTAGAAGAACAATGTTCTTTTCACATCCCATCAAGCAGCCAGACAGCTTTGCATTACTATATAATTGTCACTTTATAAATGCATTCAATAATATTACCTTACATAGGTGAAAAATGAGGAAATGCATCCATGTGTACATATTGCAAATTATTCTTCACATAACTCACTAGACTATTTTACAGGTGTGAATTGGTACTTGCCATAGAAAATAATCCCCTTCCCACTAGTCACCTGATATGACTTCAGTTTTATCTAACACCTGTATATGAGTGATTGCACTGCTTGTTTTGCAAACTCAGAAACCAGGACAGCCTGTGTTTGACCTTTGCTATCCAGAGAAATCTAGGCAGTAGAACTTTCCAGAAAGACCTAAGAAGTAGAATTTTTGCAGGGTGCTTTTCAAGAGATCAAACCAGTTTAAAGAACTGCTGGTATTTGGGATCCCTGGTGTGGAGATCTGAGGGCCAGTCTGTCTTTTGGAGCTTCCGAATACTGGTCACCATTTGCTCATTTGCATATTTTGAAAACTTCCTGTGACACAGCTGTCAGACAGAACTAGTTACCCACTTTGGGTAAGAGTTCCAGTTCTTCAGGCTCTGGTTTTTCATTGCCCCAAACCTTCACTCAATCCTGGGTATATTCATCAGCTTTGCATCCTTGTAACAAAATACCTGACACAGGCATTATCATGTAAAGAGAGGTTCCTCAGAGTTCTTAGGTATTACATCAGTCTTCCTTTTGCATCTGTAATGGAAATAACAGAAATAGAGAGAAATAGAGGCTGGGGAGATAGCTTAGCGGTAGAGCACTTGCCCAGAGTGCTTGAGGATCCCCAGCACTGGGGGAGGGGGTGATGGTTTTACCCAGTTTGCATTTTATATATTGGGAATCTTTAATGTTACTTGCAGAGAAGTGCTTTTAAAATGTAACCTGAAGCCTTCACTTTAGTTTTGACATTGAGAAACCAATACAAACAAAATGAAACAAAATGCAAAATTCAAGAATGTTGACCTTCACGAGTTAAAGGCAGTTTTTATCTATTTTATACAGTATTACACAAAATTAAACTGTAGCTTTCACTATAATTTCAGTTGCACTGTGTTATTTGTTATTTAGTCCTTTCCAGTATTGTTATACTTACAAGTTTAAATTTAAGCTCTGTTTTTATGGTAGAATGAAAAGATTGAAATCCATATGCACTATGGTATTATTCCTAAATAAATATTATAAGACACTTTGAATAGAAAGAATAATTTTATTTGGAATCATTTACTTATAATATACCACCCTAAAAATGACATCATCTTCAGAAAATTGTAAGCAGTTTAACAAAATTGTGTGTTGCTGCCATGCTACTGGGAAGACTGTTGTGCTACTTTCACTAATAAAGCATGGTCTGCTCCTGCCACCTAGGGGTCAGCTTTGGTCTGAGAACAGTGATCTATTGAACAGGTCCCTGAAATTGTTTCCTGGTTGATACAGTTTGAGAACTGGGTTTTAAATTAGCAGTAGAGTCAGGAGTGGTGGCACACACCTGTAATCCCAATACTCAGGAGGCTGAGGCAGGAGGATTGCTGCAAGTCCGAGGCCATCCAGGACTCCATAGTGAGTTCAAGGACAGCCTGAACTACACAGGGAGACCCTGTCTCAAACAAACAAACAAATATACAAACAAGTAGTAGAGCACTTGCCTAGAATGTACAGGGTCCCGGGTTCCATCCCCAGCACTGAAAAAAAAGAAAACAGTTTGGTGTTTACTTATTGACATTACAGAACTGTCTGTTCCTTAGGAGTTGAGAGTACTATTGCAGGTTTTCCAGAAGGGACCCTGTCTCTCCATGAATGCAGTTAGTGTCCTTTTCCAGGGAGTTTTGGTAAGCTGTAGCCTTTGGAGAAATGATTCTAGTTTGATGGGACTCAGGGTTTGCCATTCAAAAGATACCTAACCTGGCTGGGTGTGGTGGTGCATGCCTGTAATCCCAGCACTTGGGAGGCTGAAGCATGGGATCCCTGCAAGATTGAGGCCAGCCTGGACCACATAGTGAGACCTTGTCTCAAAAAAAGATACCTAACCTGAGCAGGCTAGGGAGACTTGAGCTTCTCTTGGCCTCAGTTTCCCTCAGGTTTGAATGTGGAATACCTGTCTCTGCCTCACAGGGTAATAAGAACCAATAGGATTGTGCTTGTTACACACTTAGCCTAGCATTTTAACACTGGTGCCACTGTGGTTTTCACTCCTTTAGATAATTTGTTCTCCTAGGTTCACCTGATTTCCTTTATTTGTTGTTGTTTGCTTGTTTGTGTTTTTGAGACAGGGTCTTGCTTTTTAATTCAGACTGGCCTCAGACTCACAGAGATTCTTCTGTTTCAGCTTCCCAAGTGCTGGAATTATAGGTGTGTGCACCTGGCTGACCTGACTTATGACAAATGGTGGGTTAAAGACCATTTTTTTTCCAGAACTTAAAAAAATATGTATACATATGCAATGTCCTGTTAGAGTTTTACAAGGGATTGAGATAACCAACATGGTCCCACATGAATTTTTTTAATGTGCAGGAGTGAAGTTCCAGCATATCCTAACACTGATATGTTCATTCAGGAGTGAATACCAAACCAAATTTGTTGAGCATCTACCAAATGGAAGAGACCAGTTAGGAGCAGCTTGATAAGGAATTTGGGTGATATCAACAAGACTGCACAGGAGCTCAGATGTATATAAATCACAGAACTGTGGAGAATGGGATTAATCCCAGAAAAGAGGTAAAGCAAAATACTGTAAGTTTCAGAAGAGCTGCAGTTCTCACCCAGCTGTACCAAGTGGGTACCATTCAGTGAAGGCTTAACAAGGGATCAACAAGTCCATTTCCAAGAAGTGGGATTTCCCGAAGATAGCTACAAAGAAGACAAGGGGGTTTCAGGCAGGTGCAGTAGCTGGGCAGATGCACAAATACAGAGAACAGGAACTAGCACAGTTTGGTTTGATGTAGTGGAATAATCTAAGTTAAGATGATATCTTTAAGTCTAGGTCACAAACACTGGAATTCCAGTGCAAAGAATCTATTTAGTACTTGATAAAAACTGAGGGTCCAAGAACATTTATAAGCAGAGACAAACCAGGTTCAGAACTGTGTTCTGGAGAAATTAATTGACCACGTGTAGAGAAAATAATTGAGAAGAAAAGTGACCAGTAGGGAAGCTTATCCAAGAGTTTATTGCCAAATAGTCCAGAAGCAATAAGCCCTAAAAGGTAGGGGTGGACATGGAGTATGTCAGGAAGGTACAGGAGTGAATAAGACTGGAAAGCAGAGAACACCTAACACATAGCCGCATTCCCTGTCGGTCAGCATCTGCTCTGTGCTAGATGGAAAGAGTTTAAAAATGCAGCAAAGCTGTTCTTATCCCCCTAGGGTCATAGTCTCCATGGTAGCCTGAATGTGTGCAGATTAGTGTGATAATAGTGATAAGGGCACCTCGTGAGAATATGCAAAGTGCCAGGGGCCAGCAGAGATGGAATTAATAACTCTAGGACAGAAGTGACTGAATTGGGTAGGGACAGCTGAGTGGAGTCTTGGAGGAAGGGAAGGGGAAGGGACACAGGGAGCAGCAGTTGAGGAAAAGATCAACCTTCTAGGCTGATGGGAGGAATGTGGAAGAGGCAGGTACCTCTCCTGGGCCACAGCATTGCAACTTTCTAGGTCTCTGTTTTTTCTATCCCTCATTTTCATCACCTATAAACTCGGGGCAATGAAAGTCCCTACTGCATGGGGTTGTGAAGGTGAAATGAGCCCATGTGTTGTTGGGGCTTGTATCTAGAGGTCCCCGCAAAGCTTCATGAAGTCATAGGTGGGGCTTTTCGGAGGTGTCTGGATCTACGGTGTGTGATTCGGGGATCAAAGATGGTGGAATTGGTTCATGGTGCAATGCTAGGATTAAGGGCGGGTAGGCTGTATAAAATATAAGAGACAGAAGGAGGGCTGCTGTTGTCATTGCTTGTTGCTTGTTGCTTGCTGCTTGCTACTTCACTGTTGGCTGCCTGCCCTGCTTTGTTATGGACTGTTTCTCCTCTGCCATGCCACCCTGCCTTGGAGCCAGCTGATTATGGATTGAAACCTCTACAAACTGTGAGCAAAATAAGCCTTTCCTCCTTTAACTTTGAGTGTTGGGCATTTTGTCTCAGCAATGAGAAAAATGAGACATGCATATAGCCGCACACTTAAGTATGCTTGCAAGAGTCCAGCAAAATGACTAATCTGTTGTGCTCAGAGAACTGCAGATTTGTCACAGAACTTTTGTATGGAGTGGATGGGTGGAGAAGCAGGAGATAAGATTGGTCTGGTCATGATCAGGAAGGGCCTTGCATGGACTTGTGGACTTGGGACTTTACCCTGCCGGCAGTGCAGA